TATCTTGATGAAGTCCCAATAGTTCATTTTTGCCCTTGCTTCCCTTGCCTTCGGTGATGTTTCTAGGAAGAAGTTGCTTGGCTGAGGTCACAGAGGTTGCTGCCTGTGTTCTCCTCTAGAATTTTGATGGATTCCTGTCTCACATTAAGGTCTTCCATCCATTTTGAGTCTATTTTTGTGTATGGTATAAGAAAATGGTCCAGTTTCATTCTTCTGGATATGGCTGTCCAATTTTCCCAGCACCATTTATTGAAGAGACTGTCTTATTTCCATTGGATATTCTCTCCTGCTTTGTCGAAGATTAGTTGACCATAGAGTTGAACGTCCATTTGTGGGTTCTCTATTCTGTTCCGTTGATCTATGTATCTGTTTTTGTGCCAGTACCATACTGTCTTGATGATCACAGCCTTGTAATAGAGCTTGAAGTCTGGAATTGTGTTGCCCCCATCTTTGGTTGTCTTTTTCCACATTCTCCTGGCAAATATCTTCTCCCATTCCATGGGTTGCCTCTTATTTAGTGGGATGCAAGGGTGCTTTGACATTCACAAATTGATCGTGATAGATCACATTAACAATAAATGGTGCTGGGAAAATTGGACAGCCACATGCAGAAGAATGAAACTGGACCATTTCCTTATACCATACACAAAGATAAACTCAAAATGGATGAAAAACCTAAATGTGAGACAGGAATCCATCAGATGCCTAGAGGAGAACAGAGGCAGTAACCCCTTCGACATCAGCCACAGCAAATTCTTTCAGGACATGTCTCTAAAGGCAAGGGAAACGAAAGCAAAAATGAAATTTGGGGACTTCATCAAGATAAAAAGCTTCTGCACAGGAAAGGAAACAGTCAACAAAACCAAGAGGCAACTCACAGAATGGGAGAAGATATTTGCAAATGACATTACAGATAAAGGGCTAGTATCTAAGATCTATAAAGAACTCCTCAAACTCAGCACCCAAAAAACAAATAATCCAGTCAAGAAATGGGCAGAAGACATGAACAGACACTTCTCCAAAGAAGACATACAAATGGCTAACAGACACACGAAAAAATGTTCAATATCACTAGCCATCAGGGAAATACAAATCAAAACCACAATGAGATACCACCTTAAGCCAGTTAGAATGGCAAAAATGAACAAGACGGTAAACAACAAATGTTGGTGAGGATGTGGAGAAAGGGGAACCCTCCTACACTGTTGGTGAGAATGCAAGCTGGTGCAGCCACTCTGGAAAACAGTGGCTCAAGACGTTAAAAATAGAGCTACCCTATGACCCACCGATTGCACTACTAGGTGTTTATCCCAAAGATACAGATGTAGTGAAAAAAGGGACACATACACCCCAATGTTCACAGCAGCATTGTCCACAATAGACAAACTGTTGAAGGAGCGAGGATGTCCTTCAACAGACAAATGTATAAGGAAGATGTGGTTCATATATACAAGGAAATATTACTCAGCCTTCAGAAAAGATAAATACCCACCATTTGCATTGACATGGATGGAACTAGAGGTTATTATGCTAAGTGAAATAAGTCAAGCAGAGAAAGACAATCATATGGTTTCACTCATATGTGGAACATAGGAATAGTGTAGAGGACACAGAGGAAGGGAGGGAAAACTGAATGGGAAGAAATCAGAGAGGGAGACAAACCATGAGAGATTCTGGACTTGGAGAAACAGACTGAGGGTTACAGAAGGGAGGACGTGGGTGGATGTGGTAACTGAGTGATGGGTATTAAGGAGGGCACATGTGGTGATGAGCACTTGTTGTTGTATGCAACTGGTAAATCATTGAACATTATATCAAAAACTAATGATGTACTATACGTTGGCTAATGAACATTAAAAAAAAGAAAGGAAAAACATAAAATAATTGATCTATCTCAAATTTTTTTTAATTAAAGTTGCAAGACTAAAGAATCATGAGAAAAAAAACATGAATTCTATGTGCTGTATTCTACTAGCACTGGAGTTTTGCAGTTCTCATTGATTTGTAAACTTGGTCTTGGCTGGATGTTCTTGCTGATCTTCTGGGGGAGGGATCTGTTGCATTGATTCTCAAGTGTCTTTGCCCCAGGCAGAATTGTATTGCCCTTGTCAGGGGGCCAGGCTAAGTAATCTGCTCCGATTTGCTCTTTGTGCCTTTTGTTCCATGAAGGCTTTCCGCTCAGCTTTAGAGGATGAGAATGAAAATGGCAGCCTCCAAATCTCCAGCCCCAGAGCCAAAAGCTTGTGGTCCCACTCCTCAGTGCACCCTCAGAGAAAAGCAGTCAATCACTCCTGCCTCCCTGGTCTCCAGCCACACTCCATGCTCACCCAGCCTACAACCGAGCATTTCTATCTCAGGCACATGACCCCATTTTGAGTCTCTAAACCCTGTAGACTCTGGTGCGCTCTCATGCTGCTCCTCCCAGGGGAGGAAGGAGAGTCTGGCTGGTTCTGCTGATTGTTGGACCCCTGCTCAGAGAGCAGTCACCTGACTGGGCCATGGTTCACAGTTTATGGCAACCCCAAGCTGAGAGCCCACTCCTGGGCCCACTGTTTGCAGCTGGATTCCCAGCTTTGATGCTTGGGAATTCTGCTACACTCAGGCACCTCTGGTCTTCCTGTGACCCTAAGGGTCCTGAGACCACACTGTCCCAGCTAGGGTTCTGCCCCTGCTTAGCCACCTGAGCAACATCCCTCACCTGAGCAGACTTCTAAAAGTTCTGATTTGGGGCTCCTCTGCTCTATCACTTGCAGGCAGCCAGCTTATGGAGGCTCCGTCCCCACAGTTTAGCTTCCCATATATCACCTGGGATTCACTTCTCCGCACCTCCTACCTTGCAGAAAGTGGTCACTTTTCTGTTTGTAGAGTTGCAGCTGTTCTTTTCTTGGATATCCGGTTGAGTTCGCAGGTGTTTGGAATGGTTTGATAACTTTCTAGCTGAATTCCTGGGACCAGATGAAACTAAGATCTCCTACTGCTCAGCCATCCTGGACTCCTCACCCCCCAATATGCCTTTAAAGCCACAAAGTAATGTGTTTTTTAAAATTCTCCTAGTAAATTAACTTCAACATCATCAGACTTTATTATAGGACGAGACAATAATTAAGTATGGGAACTTGGATAATGATATGGTATTCTTAGAAAGAGCATACTAGGCACTAACCCACAAGTGTCTCCTCCACTGAGTCAACTGATGAGACCATCAGGGATTTTCATTGCTGATGTCATGATGTTTATTTATAGCATTTCCACTTGATTCTGTTTTTATATTTCCCATCACTGCTCTTCCATCTTCTCATGCATGCTTTCCACCTTCCACTAGATCTTTGGACACATTAATCATGAAGATTTTAGGTCCTTGTCCAAGAGTTCCAACATCTGTCATCTCTGAATCGGTCCTATTGATTTGTCTCTTGACTGTGGTAGTTTTTTCTTTGCTACTTTGTGTGTATAATTTTTTAAATTCAATGCTGAACATCATGTGTGGTACAGAAAAAAAAAAACTGAGAAATAGTAGTTATCCTGGAAATGGGCATGACTCTTACTCTGTCAGGCCATTGATGGGGAAGGTTGAAACAATCCAGACAAGAGTTGAGTTAAATTTGGGATTTGTTGTTAGCATTACTTCTTTTGGGCCAAGAGTTCAAATTCCTGCCATCTCACCACCTTGGGCATAGGACACGGGCTTGGGTGTTGGGATGCCTTTCTCAGGTTTAGTGTCCACACTCAGCTTTCATACACAGTGGCTTGCTTGTGCCAGATCTGACCTTCTCCATTGTTCTTGCCTCTCTCCAGTAGTGGACGGCTGCTTGTTATAGGTTCTGGGATCGTGGTGAGAGGCAGAGGATCCTTTGTGTCCTGATCCAGACTCAGCCCTGTGCTGGCTTTTACACCTGGGCAGGGTGTTCCTGTCCCTCTTCCCTCTGGTGCCCAGCTTGCGTGGGTGGAAGATGCCTGCCTCACATCCCCCTCTCCCTCAGGCTTGGTTTCAGTATAGCATCCTGGGCCCAGCAAGTCTTCCTGCCCTACCCTCAGGGGCACAGGGCTTTTGCTTCTATCTGTCTCCAGCAGTACTGAGTCATTGCCTGCCCCTTTCCCCACAGCTTTTGCATTGTGAGGAAGAAGGGTTAGGTAGGTGGTGGTTTCATGCCAGATCCACACAGCTCAGTCCCTCTGATATATCTGCATCACTGAGAGCACTCTCTCTTAGCTTTGCCTGACCTCATCTTCCTTGTAAGCTTCTGGTGAGTGAATGAAAGCCCCCTACCTTTCCTGTACAAGCCCCCAACGATTCGGGCCCAAACTCAGGCTCTGGCAATTCATTAGCATTTGGGCAGACTTCTTCCTGTCCACACTATGGCTTTGTCCCCTCTCCCCTTAGAGGGCTCTGTCCCTCCTAGGACTTTAGGCTGCTTCATAGCTCTGTAAGGGTAAGGAAAGTTTGACTTGTGGTTTGTCTGGTCTTGTCATTAGGGCAACACTCATTAGCTTTCTACATCCTTGGTCAAAGTGGAAGTCACATTTTTCTCAGAGCTTTCCCTTGGTAAAATGCATTCATGCCAGCAAATATCTTCCATGTTATAAAGAGACTTGTGGATGAGGTTCACACCCAATCATGATTTGTCATAAATTGGACTTAAGTTGTTTACACCACCAATTACTTAATATCCAGTGAACATCTACTCTATGTGAGCTCTGAGTGCACTGAGGAAATATATCTTGCAGGATTTGTTTTTTTTTTTAAGATTTTATTTATTTATTTCACAGAGAGATAGCGACAGCAGGAACACAAGCAGGGGGAGTGGGAGAGGGAGAAGCAGGCCTCCCGTCGAGCAGGGAGCCCGATGTGGGGCTCAATTCCAGGACCCTGGGATCATGACCTGAGCCAAAGTCAGACGCTTAACAACTGAGCCACCCAGGCGCCCCCATCTTGCAGGGTTTTTTAACCAGTGATGCTAACACCCATGGGTAGAGAGAGATTTTTGTTTGATTGACTGTCCTGCCTTCCTCTTGTTTGTTTTTTATTTCAATCTGGGTAAGAAGCAGAGCTTGAAAGACTGACGAATGCTCAAGAATCCATTAAACATTGGGTCAGTGCTCAGTTCCTTTTCATCAACAACAGGCTTTAAGGTAAAATTTTGCAGAATGGTGGTCAGGAATAAAAATATCTCCATTCGAGCAAGACCTTCTCCAAGACATGCCCGTTTTCCTGGAAGCAAAAATCATTTTATTAATTGACTCTTGTGAAGATTGACAAAGGAAAATGGAAATTTTTATCATACAGATTTCTCTTCTTTGCCCACCAAGGATGGCTGGGACCTGGAGCCTGCTGTCTTCAGGTGACCCATCAGAATAACAGGACAGGAAGCCCCCCCTTGAGCAATCATTTCCAGGTACAAGAGGGAAGTGACACAAATATTGTTTTCAGAAAAGTTCACATTGAGCTGGAGGGACAGCCTCCTTCACAATCTAGAGATTAATGTCATGTGTACACAGAAATAATTTGATTTTTGCATTATTGTTATTCTAGATTGCCATATATTACAGGGACAAATGAAAATCATTTCATAATCATTTCCACAATCATTTTGTTACAAAATATATTTTAAAATATACTGAATTGATTTATCTGTGATTCCATTTTAATGGATTAAATTGATAGATGGCCAGAAATGTGGAGCTTTATTTACCAATAGAGAAGGGGATGAAGAAGTCACTCTTCCGAAAGCTGCCATTTTTATCCAGAAAATGGTTCGGATCAAACCTTTGTGGGTTTGTAAACTCTTTACTGTCATACAACACAGAAGAGAGCAATGGGAACACAGTTGTGCCCTAAAACCAAGAACATCTAATATTTAATAAGAGACTTCTTTCCAGAGAGCCCAGTGTCAATTGCTGGAAGATGGGATGACAAGTGACACAGATGACTCTGAGGGAAATGGCTCCATCACAATGATGTGCCCACAGCATACCCTGCATCTGTGGGAGGAATAGCTGAGGGGCAAATGACACATTTGGGGAAGTCAGGTGGAAATTGATGCTGAAGTTTCCAAGCAAATGGGTAGGACTCTTGTCCAGGGCATGAATGTGAAATAGACTCTCAGGGTTCCCTGGCTTTACCACCATGTAAACACAGACTCTAAAACACACATCCTTGGATCTGCCTTCACCCAGCACAAGAACCAGTCCCCTGAGCCAAGGCAAACCTTGAAAGATAATAACAGAAAATATTACTGAGAGAGGGAAATTTTGTGTACCTATCTACAGCAGAACTAAATTCAAGAAATTTTATGTTTGATACTTTTTAATGGAAAGCAAAATTGCTTTTTAAGGAGTTACAAATGGAACCACAACAATTAGTACAGAACTGAAAGAGAAGACAAATGTTGTTCATAAACACAACCATTACAGTTGAGTAGATGATACTTCTATTTTTCTGAATGAAGTTGTGAACATATGATGATGATACACGTTGTATATGTAAATATGCAATTGCAAAAGACACCACTTTAGGAGAAGCTTGTCCTTGAGGAAACACGAAGTGATGAGGATGATGTAAATTGGAGGGTTATGCAAGTGCAGATTGGGTATAGGTTTTTTTTTTTTTAATTAAGTCACAAAATATGCTCTCTTTTAAAATATTGTCTCTTCTACATTCTCTTTATTCTTTATTTTGTAAATCTCACCATCATGTTGCAATTTGCCTTTCCTCTCTCCATGTCTCAGACCCTACCTCTCATATGATATTTCTCTTTATTTCCCTGCAGTGCATCCTGGATAATCTTCCCCGACTCCATCAGCACATTATTTCTCACCTCAGTCATGTATAATAGATCCATTACACTGTTTAGGCCAACTATAATACTTTAAAATTTAAAATAACTACATATGTAAATAACAGCTTTATTGGGATATGAGTTATATATCATAAAATTTAACCTTTTAAGGCATACAGTTCAGTAGTTCTAGCATATCCACAGAATTGTATAACCATCGCCTAATTTTAAACATTTTATTCAGCCCAAAGAAACCCCCATACCCTATTAGTAGTCATTCCCCATTCCCCTTGACTTCCAAACCTAGTAAACACTAGTCTAATATCTGGCTCTATGCATTTCCTTATCTGGACATTTCATATGAATGAAATCATACAATATGCATCCTTTGGTCTTGCTTCTCTCACTTAGCATATTATTTTTAAGGTTTGTATGTGTTGTAACATGAATCAGTACATCATTCCTTTTATGACTGAATAATATTCCATTGTATGGCTAGACCACTTCTTTTTAATCTATTCGTGAGTTGTGGACATTTGGGTTGTTTCCATTTTTTGGCTGCCATGAAGAATGCTACTGTAGACACTTATGTACAGGGTTGGTGTGTGTGTGTGTGTGTGTGCGCGTGCATGTGCACGTGGATGCATGCACATTCACTGTTTGGTTTGTGAGTTCTGCACCCTAATATCAGTGAAACTTGTGTCCAAGCCTAGGCATGGCATAGGACTAGGCTTTTCCCTTACCCAGAATCCGTGGCACTGATGATTCTCCTTTATGCTTGTTGGCTTGTGAGAGGAATTCTTCTAGGTCTCATAAAGCCCATGGCCTTCATTCAGGGGCCACATGGAGCAGCACACCATTCTTGCCCAAGGGGGTCAAATCTCTGGCTCCTAGCTGCTAGGATCTCTCAAAGCCTGAATCCATGTGAGTCACCCACATTTTTACCAAAGTTGGTTTTATTGGAATAAAAATTTTAAAAGCTAATTGGGGTGTTATAGACTATATTTAATTTTAATTTGCACTTGCTAGTAAGCTTGAATATCTTTCCATACACATATTGACCATATTGACCCTATAGGTGTTCTAGTCTGTGAATTTCTTAGTTTTATCTTTTGTTCATCTGTTCCTTGTTCTGTGCTTTATTTCCTTATGACTTTGGGAGGTCTTTACATAATCAAGAAGTTATTTATATGCACTATGGTTACTTTTTCATGGTCTTTAGCTTAACTTTGGCCTTGTGTTGCCTTTTGTTCTACAGAACATTTTCCTTTTTAATGGAATCACATTCAGCCATGCTTTTCTTCAAGGTCATGCCATTTCTATTGTGTTTAAGAAGGCTTTTCCTGCCCCAATATCATAAAAATATTCTCCCATCTATTATTATAAATGAATTAAATTTACCTTTTACATGAAAGTACTTAATATTTCCAGAAATAATTTTTCTGTGAGGTAGGGACTTGATATTTTTTTCTATCATCATTTACTAAACAGTCTTTTTCCTTCCCTAATTTACAATGTCCCCTAATCACACACACCTGTCTAGGTCTCTTTCAAGGCTCCCTACTCTGTTTCATGGGGGAAACCCCACTATTTGAAACAATCATGATATTCAACACCAACATTAACTTAATATTATCACTGTTATCTTTTTAAAAATCTGTGTGGCTTTTCTTGGCATGTTTTCACTCTATATGAATCTAGGATCTTCTTGTGTTCCATGGAAAACACAGTTCAAAATTTTATTTGAATTGAAATTAATTTATACATTAATATGGGAAAATGCCATCTTGGTGTTGGTTTTTCCCTACTAACATATTAAAAATATCTCTATTTACTTAGGTCTTCTTTATGCCCTTCAATATCTTGTTAATTTTCTCCACAAGTGTCTTGCACAGATTTTGTTAGATTAAGGAAACAGTCAACAAAACAAAGTGGCAACCCACAGAATGAGAGAAGATATTTGCAAATGACACTACAGATAAAGGGCTGGTATCCAAGATCTATAAAGAACTTCTCAAACTCAACACCCAAAAAACAAATAATCAAGTCAAAAAGTGGGCCAAAGATATGAAAAGACACTTCTCTGAAGAAGACATACAAATGGCTAACAGACACATGAAAAAATATTCATCATCATTAGCCATCAGGGAAATTCAAATCAGAATCACATTGAGATACCACCTTACACCAGTTAGAATGGCAAAAATGGACAGGGAAAGAAACAACAAATGTTGGAGAGGTTGTGGAGAAAGGGGAACCCTCTTACACTGTTGGTGGGAATGCAAGTTGGTACAGCCACTTTGGAAAACAGTGTGGAGGTGCCTCAAAAAATTAAAAATGAGCTACCCTATGACCCAGCAATTGCCCTACTGGGTATTTACCTCAAAGACACAGATGTAGTGAAAAGAAGGGCCATATGCACCCCGATGCTCATAGCTGCAATGTCCACAATAGCAAAACTGTGGAAAGAGCTGAGATGCCCTTCAACAGATGAATGGATAAAGAAGATGTGGTCCATATATACTATGGAATATTACTCAGCTATCAGAAAGGATGAATACCCAACTTTTACATCAACATGGATGGGACTGGAGGAGATTATGCTAAGTGAAATAAGTCAAGCAGAGAAAGGCAATTATCATATGGTTTCACTTATTTATGGAACATAAGGAATAGCATGGAGGACATTAGGAGAAGGAAGGGAAAAATAAAGGGAGGGAAATCGGAGGGAGAGATGAACCATGAGAGACTATGAACTCTGAGAAACAAACAGCGTTTTAGAGGGGAGGGGGGAGGGGGGATTGGTGAGCCCAGTGATGGGTATTAAGGAGGGCATGTACTGCATGGAGCAGTGGGTGTTATACGAAAACAATGGATCGTGGATCACCACATCAAAAACTAATGATGTATTGTATGGTGACTAACATAATAAAATTTTTTTAAAAAGATTAATTCCTATGACTTTATTTCTTATAATTTTTGAGTCCATTTTAAATAGATCTTCTTTAAATAAATAAAAATAATTTGTGTTTCACCACTGCTGTTGTACCTAATCCATCTTTTCTATCATATGAATTTATGATCATAAATTTTTTATCACTAAAATATTATATTTGTTCCTAAGTAAAAAAAAAAAAGAGGAGTTCTGCAGCATGCCTTTTCTTCCCAATTCTTTTCATGCTGCCCATGTCATTTTCCTTTTATATCTTACTGTTGTTTAAATCCAAATTTATATTCCAATTTTTATAAGAATTTCTGTTTTTTAGTTGATTCTTTCATCTATTCCCTCATACTCCTTTGTTCTTAATCAGTCTCTCTAGAGGTTTGTTATTTTAACAATCTTCCCCTAAATCTAAATCTTATTTATTTTTTCTATCAGTAGTTTCTTTTTGGTATTATGACCTCATTTGTGCTCTCTGAGAGTCTGCACTGTTATTCTTTCTCTACCTTCTAATTTCATCATTCACTTATTAAACTTCAGTCTTTCCTTTCTCTTTCCCAATATTCATTTTCTTGTCCTTAGGTCTATCTCACAAGCATTTCTAGTGGAGTTTTATTTAAGTGCAAATTATAATAGAAATTATGAAATCTCTGGAATAAAAACTGCCCAAAATACTTTTTCTCCTATCTTTTCTTAAGATATAAAAATTTTTTTGGCCATGATTACTAAAATGTCTGTTAAGAAAACATGTTTTTTGTAAAGTTTTTACTTACACAGAGTTGGCCAATGGGGCTAATAGAAATCTACTTCCCTTAAAATGAAAATATCAGGCACTTAATCACTTAATTGTCAAAATAAAAAAAATTTAAAGGAGGAAGATGACTGACCTTAGGAATGAAGAACTGTCTAAACTTGGTGTCCTGAATCACAGCATGAGGCAGATTGGAGGGAATGAGATTGATGTACCTCTGGACCTCATGCACCACGGCATCTGTGTAGGGCATCTGGGCCCTGTCGCTCATGCAGGGGACCCGGTCCCGGCCCACCACTTTGTCGATTTCCTCGTGAACTCTACCTGCATGAAACAACAGTGTCTGTCACTCATGAGCCATGCAGATGACATCCTGAAATGTCATCCAAAACTGGGCTACAAGGGTGTAGAAACTCAATCCTACAAACTCGCAAAGCAAAGCATTCCCTTCTGTAGGTCGTGCTGTTTGAAGCCGTGGTAAGAATGTGTTTGGTTTGGCTGAAATTGCCCATAATACAGGATGTGCTCAGGGCCCTCCACAAGGTGGTCCTGAATCTTTCATGTGTTCTTTACGAGAACTAGGAGGGCAGGGTTACAACCATTCAGTTCTACACAGATCTTTGCAAGCTAATAATGCAGAGAATTCTGTCTCCAGATGACTATCTAAGACATCACCAGCAACCATTATTCTGAACATTCACAAGAAGTGGTGGGAAAATGCTTACTAAGTGCCCCTTCGTACCAATCAGCTAGAAACATGTTCCTCTCAACAACACTCTAGGGTAAGTTTTAATATTCCTGTTTTTTAAAAGATTTTATTTATTTGAGAGAGAGAGCACATATGCAAGAGAGCATGGGGGGAGTGGGGAGAAGCAGAGGGAGAGAGAGAAGCAGACTCCCTGCTGAGTGGGGAGCCCCACACGGGAATCAATACCAGGACCCTAGGATCATGACCTGACCCCAATATTCTTGTTTTTAAGAGATAACAGCTACAGTTCAGAGACATCAAGTAACCTCATGGACGCTCTGTCCTATTGTGGAGCCAGGATTGAAACCAAGACTGTTTTATTATAACCATACACTGGGTGTTATATGCAACTAATGAATCGTTCAACACTACATCAAAAAATAATGATGTACTATATGTTGGCTAACTGAATATAATAAAAAAAATTAAAAAAAAAACAAAAACAAAAAACCACAGACTGCTTTTGGAACAAAACTTCCCAAGCCAAGAAAGTGTTGATTTCCTTAAAGCTTTCAAGAGACAGCTATTCTAATTCCATGAATTAGCTCCGGAGAACCACAGAAGCACTGGAAATGGGCCCTCAGCTCTCACTTTGTGCTGCTTTGTATGAAGGGGGAGACTGAATTGAGAATGCACGTGCTTGTCCTGAGCCACACAGCCAATGTGCGACATGTGTGACAGGAGTGTCACACGCCTATCCTCACGTGTGAAATGAGGTTTGAGATTCAGAAACTAATTCCTTCCTCTTTCACTGCTCAAAAAATTATTTATGCCATTTCATTTTATCTTCATCATGATTAAATATTCCAGTTTATTTAATGCCTACTCCTATAGGACAGTATACACAGAGATTTCTAAAGTACACATCAAAATTTGGGAATACTGATCAAAAGTTATTTCAGTTACTCATTGCTGTTAACATAGCAATTCAGTTTCTAAAAATTTATCCTAAGATCATATCAAGTGCATATAAAATTTTTGGTACAATGATTTTTTTCAATTATGTGTGATAGCAAAAAAAATAAAATAATTAAAATTCTCACAAATAATTAGTTAAATAAATTATGGTATGCTTCAGTATGAAAAATTCCATGCTAATTTAAAATAATATTTTATAGAATACCCAATATTCATAGCAGCAATGTCCACAATAGCCAAACTGTGGAAGGAGCCAAAATGCCCTTCAACAGATGAATGGATAAAGAAGATGTGGTTCATATATACAAGGGAATATTACTCAGCCATCAGAAAGGATTAATATCTACCATTTACATCAACATGGATGGAACTGGAGACCATTATGCTAAGTGAAATAAGTCAATCAAGAAACACAATTGTCATATGGTTTCACTCATGTGGAACGTAAGGAATAGTGCAAAGGACAATGGGGGGGGAACAGAATGGGAAGAAATCAGAGGGAGACAAAGCATATGGGACACTTTTTTTTTTTTAATTTATTATGTTATGTTAGTCACCATACAATACATCATTAGTTTTTGATGTGGTGATCCACGATCCATTCTTTTCATATAACACCCAGTGCTCCATGCAGTACATGCCCTCCTTAATACCCACCACCAGGCTAACCCATCCCCTCACCCCCCTCCCCTCTAAAACCCTGTTTGTTTCTCAGAGTCCATAGTCTCTCATGGTCGTCTCTCCCTCTGATTCCCTCCCCCTTATTTCCCCTTCCTTCTTCTAATGTCCTCCGTGCTATTCCTTATGTTCCACAAATAAGTGAAACCATATGATAATTGACTTTCTCTGCT